CCCATTCAAATTACAGTATCCAATTCTCTGTCTCCAACAATAGCTTTAGGGTTTTATTTTCTGTAGCATTTATTAAGTTTGAACCTGTAGAAAAGATCAAGCAAGAAGGGAAAAAAAAAAGTTTACTGCAGTTCTATAAAATGTAGTTTACAACACTACTATATCACTGCCAATTCAAATACAAACACAAGTTTTACTCCTTTCATTTTCTCTCTCTGTACAATTCTATGTAAAGTTTCTAAGAATTGAAGGGATCACCATCAGACATTTTTTTTTAAAACTGGTAAATTGCTTTTCTAAATCTTGAATTGAAGGGATCACCATCAGACTTAGAAAATACTTGTATGCATCTCCCTAAACTGTGTTCTCTATGTGGTTGTGATTGATTGCCGATACATTTTCTTTTTGTTTCAGCAATAGATAATTAATTTCAATTATTTCCCTTAATGAAGGTTTGCTAATCCATGCTTGGCTTTTATGATGTTCATACCCTGCTCACTTATTGGTATGTTATTTCCAAGAATTTGTTGGAGATGTTTCCCTCTCTCTCAAGATGTTTCTGCCCTTGCATCATCAAAGGAGGTATGCGTTTTCATCCACTTTTATTTGATTGTGATACTCAATGGGATCTCATGTTATGTTGCCCCCTTAAACAGCAGAATATTTATTGGGCTTTGTTTTCAATAATTTGTTAGGTATATGACATTGCTATTCATATGAACATGAAGACTTAAGTCTTTTTTACTTCTCTGTAGACAATGATAGTGCTCCCCACCTCTCACTTTAATCATCTTGATTAGTTTTGATTTGTTTATGGTTTTCTGCAAATGGATTCTTACATTATGAAGCAGAATTGGAGATAAATGATTTTCAACAAAATGCTCGTTGGAAGGTGACCCACAAGGAAACTTTAGGTCCAATCTCTGAATGGACTAGGGCTGCCATTACAACTAGAGGGCAGTATTTTGCACCGGCAGGTTCCAGGACTAAGGGAACGAAAGCTGTACTTGTTCATCACTTCCTAGTTCAGCGCAACTTGGCCGATATTCAGTTCTTTAATAGCAAGTCTTTCATTATTAGATGCTGATTAGTATCATTTTTTTTCTATATTGTACCGCAGTTTGGGCATATTATACCAATTTCATTAATTATGTGTTAGATATCTTACTTTCAAGATCCTTCGTGAGAATGAGATTTGTCATTTTGTTTCTTATAGACAGAAGCTCATTGGAATTTCTTTGTGCACATGATAATGTTACTACATTGTATATCTGGTATCTGGAGGTAATTGAATGCTCGGGTAATCTACTGAAGTTATTTTCTTTTTTCACCTCTATTTTTAGGTCATAATATATTTATATCAATTCAAATGTAATTTAGGTTGTTTTTAATATCTTGAAAAAAAAATTGACGTTTCACCAATTTCAAAATGTATATATTATATAATACTATATTAACATTAAATCATTATTATTTATTGAAAAATAATTTTTCTTGAATAAAATATTATTAAAAAAAAATTTCAAAATTTCAAAGTAAACGTGTTTTCCATTTTTATGTTTTCGAAAACAGTTTTTCAGAATGACAAAAAGAACGCATTTTCAGAAATTTCAAAACAGACACTCAAAACACAAAACACAAAACGAATTGAAAACTTAAAATACAAAACTGAAACACGAAGAGAACGGCCCCTTATTTTGGAATGCAATTCTTCGTCCTAGCCTTCGTTCTTGCTCTTCAAGGTCCTTTTTCTCTCTAAGAAGATGTAACCCTAACTTTTGGACGTTATTTGAGTTATATAGGAGTCATCAATTCATTACCATAAGAGTTTGAACCAATTTAGGAAAGCCAGAAAATTCGCTCAATTTTTCTTCTATGCGACCTTATAGAAGGATTCTTGCTTGGTTGCATGCGGTTGCATGCATGACCGCATAGTGTTCACTTCTTCCCAAAAGTTGAAATTTTGGTCCTTCCACTTTATCTTCTTTATTTCTTGACCATTTTCTCAATTTGATCTTGTAATCTTCATGTCTTCAATTTCTTCTCCGACTCATCTTTTGGATATTTGCAACTTAATTCCTGAACTTTGATATTCTTCATTTTGGCCTTTTTTTCTCTATTTTTCTTTCACTTTCCACCACATTCACCACTATTGACCTGCAAACCCAATTAATAATGAATTAAGCTATGTTTCACACATAAATCGATATTGGATGCACCCAATATTGCAAAACTAGGCTTGCTCTGATACCATATTAGAAATGATATTGGACTTAACTCAACCTAACAAAATCGACTTGTTATGGGAGGATTTCCCCCACCTTATTAAATGGATCATGTAAATATCACCAGCCAATGTGAGACTCTAATAGAGACAACTTAAATGATCGATTTTTGGTAGGTGCGGATTTTTTGGCTCTTCAAATTTCAACGTTTAAAATGGGGGTAAAATAGATATTGTGAATTTTTTAAATAAAATAAATAAAAAGAGTCAAATACTATCTTGGAAAATGATCGAGTTACCCGACAATTCTCCGTTGATTCCTCTGCAATCGGCATTAACATATACTTTTAGCACCATAATGGGCAGAGTCCTAAATATCCAAGTTCGGTTCGAATTGTATCCAAATCCTAGACTCGTTTCAGCCATTGAATCATGGGTCTTATAGGTCGAGCTAAGCCATCCATGAGTTGATTCATTAAAAAAAAAAAAAAAAATTGACAATTTTTTTAATAAAGTACGTCAAAAAATGCGCCGACTCGTGTAATTTATTTTTGTGGTTGGCTTGTTCCTGTATGAGCCCTAAATTAAACTACGTATTTTGTAATTTATTTGAAAAACAAGAAAAAAGCTCAAACGTTTTCAGAAATGAATGATTGAGATAGAGCATACTTCTTAAAAATTGATGTCTGGGATGAGAACGTGGAAAATTCATAATTTTAATGGACATGTTATCAAATAACGTGCTTCGATTCCCATGAAATTAAAGTTAAATGTGGTTGTTGTAAATTGAAGTTTTGTGACCTAATTACACTTTGAGTGAAAATTGAATGACTGCCAATACAATTATTAGTCCATTTAGATTGTTACATTATCTAATGTTGCACCCATGGAATGATTTAATTGTTAAATTAAAGTTGAAGTGATTCATTACTGTCAATTGAATTTCAGCGACGTTATTGTAGTTTTGGTGGAAGTATCGAGACGATCAGTGTATTAACTCAATTAAGTTACTTTTTCTATTTAATGGGAAATGATGTTTCCTCTTAAGCCATTAAAATTTATAATAGTTTCATCGTATGCAATTTTGTTCGAAAAAATAACACCGTGTGACGTGACAGTCATTCACTCGGCCAAACTCGATTAATTAGACTACAACCACGATTGTTTGAAAAAGATTGTTGAATCCATGTTTCGTTTAAACTAACCCTAATTCCAACCTAGGGTAATAGTAATAGAACATGTGAATTTTGTCTTGTGCAAAGAAATCAATGGTGAAACTGCTATAAATCTTAGCCCTTGTTTATCTCTCATTATTTCAAAAATCATTTTTTTTCTATATATTCTTTTTCAACTAAACATTCACACAATAAACAATTCGACACGTAAACCTAAATTTTTTTTTTACTTTTTAATCAAACATTCTCCCAAAAATACTATTTAAAACAATATTTTTTCAATAAAATGGCCACCAAACACGGACTTAACAACAACATGAGTAAGAAAATACTTTAATGACCAACTCGAAACTTTATGATAAAAGTAACTCTCCTTGGCCTCCACTTTACTCATTAAATTATAATTCATTTTTTCTCTCTCTTCTTATTAACCATACATTTTTCAATAAAATAATATTACATTTAAATAAAAAAAAATTCATTCTTTTTTAATCACACGCTTTTCAAAAAATTACTATTCCTCTCGTTAGAACGTGAAATAGAAAAATGCTGAATGTACAGCTTTTTTACACAGTAAGTTTGATAGCACTCTCACATGGGTGTGAGGCCTGCGATTGTAGTCCCACCCCCCATGTGAGAGGGTGTCAAAATGTATGTGTAAAAAATACTCTAGATGTAGCATAACCTACCCAAAGTGGCTATAAAAATTGTGAAAGATACAAATTACTAAAAATAGTGATACAAATTATATTTCGCTCAATGTAGTGCTATTTGTATCAATTTCTCAATTTGTTTTTATCCACTTCCTTTCGAGGCAAAATAATTTAGCATTTATAGGAAAAGAACTGTGAACGAAATAGGAATAAGAAGAAAGCAAAGTAGAATAATAAAATCATTCCCCTTCGTTTGGATCATCCCGGAGATCTGTTTTAAGAAATAATAGAAAGAAAGAAATTGTGGGCAGATCTGTTTTCTGGGAATTTTTATTTTTATTTTTTCCTGGTTGATCGAGACAGAAGGGAAAGATGAATATATTTAGATTAGCGGGGGACATGACCCATTTGGCGAGCGTCCTTGTTTTGCTCCTCAAGATCCACACCATCAAATCGTGTGCTGGTACGCATTTCTACATTCTTCCCCATTTCCAAAACCTCCATACCTGCATGGTCGTGATCTTGAATCTTATTGGTGATTGCATTGTTTTTCTAATTGGGGAAAATTCATTTTTGGTAATTTCAGTCAAGTTTCTTGAGTTGATATAACTGGGTTTTCAAAAACTTTTTGTCGGATTGCTTAAAATATGCTAATACTTCTGTGTGTTGCAGCTACTAAAAGTAAATTATTTAGATTTGTATTGCAGCTATCTAATTTATTTGCAGTGATTATTGATTCATATTAACTAGCTCGGTTTTCGAATGAGCATTAGGCATATAGTGAGAAAAATGGCTAGTTATCAGGATGTTGAGCCTGATGAGAATCATTACGAGAATGAAATTGAAGTGCAGTTTTCTAAAGCTAATTGTGTTGTCAGACCTGATACAGTGTCGAGAAATCTGAAGTGTCAAGGAACTGGCAAAGGCTATGTTTTTGTATGTTTGTTTATTATGTGACCTTCAAATCTCAGTCACATTTGGCATGTAATGAACCATTTTTATTTTTTTCCATTTTCAGTTTTCTCCTCTTTTCTTAAATTTAGTGTTTCTTTATCCTTATTGGTTCTGGGTATTCACTTTACAATTCAGTGATAAATTTACTTTTGAATCATAAGAACACTTCTTGAAGTAATATACCAACTGTCCTCTTTGTTATTAGTGTTCTATGGTTCTGTGTCTGGTTCCCATTTTCAGTGCTTCAAGGGAGAAGTGTACAGGAGCAGATAACAGGACGAAACTCTAGAGATTGGTTAATGCACCTGTAATACTTGAGAACCTAAGTCCAATATCATGTCCAAACATGTTTCTTGACTAAACAGAAGTACATGAAATTTCTGCATGTTCACTACTTTTCTTCATTTGTATGGGAGGTGAACCAGAATACAGGTTCTAAACTCGACATAAGACCTTCTACATACTCAGTCTGCTTTGAATCCCGGAATGTCTTTCAGTCTGATCGAGTCAGATTTAGAAAATCTACTAAATAGCCTAGAACGTCATTCTATTGCGCACTGATTTGAGTCGGTCAGGAGACACATCAAATAAGTATGTTAATAGGTCCTGCTTGATCACAATGTTTCTGAATAGTTTTCTGCTCTAAAAGAGTAGGATTATCATGTCTCATGTGTTTCCTTTTTGACACCTAAGAATATAGAAACCTCAATTCTAGCAACAGTTTTGGTGTTGTGGGGGGGGGATACAGAAGACAATAGAAAACATTGTTTTCCACTGATGTCTATGTAGAAGTAATCTGAACTGCTGTGTTTTTTTAATCTTTTCTTGATAACGAATTGTTTCTGATGATTCTTGCAAGCGTATTGTGGTATTGTGGATTCATCTGCTTAGTATAAAATGCTTTGTATAAGTTCATCCTCTTATTCATCTTTTGGGAGATTAAAATAAGTTTTTTTCTCTTTTCTTGCGATTGATTTTATGCTTCTGCTTGTGAAAATTGAAGCAAGAAGCTGTATGATGAAATTATCTTTAGCTGCATCCAATTTTTATCGGCTTCATTTGATGTCCACTTCCTCTCTCATATGCAGGGATTTCTCTGAAGACTCAGGAACTCTATGCTCTTGTCTTTGCCACACGCTACTTGGATCTTTTTGCTCACTACATTTCACTCTATAATACTCTAATGAAATTAATTTTCTTGGGAAGCTCTTTCTCAATCGTCTGGTATATAAGGCATCACAAGATTGTCCGCAGATCCTACGACAAAGACCAGGACACATTTCGCCACTATTTCCTTGTGCTGCCATGTTTTCTATTGGCCCTAGTCATAAACGAAAAGTTCACTGTCAAAGAGGTTCTCAGGCTTCCCCATTGGACAATTATTTCATGGCTTAGTTTGCATTGTTCATGGATAATTACTTGTGGAAAATAACTTATTTCCTCCGAATTATGAAAATGAACTATTACTTTATCTTATTAATATTCTTTGCAGAAAACTGCAGTCTTGCCTGTTCTTGTTGTTTTATTACTCACCTTTGTATTTCTTGCTTATTTGAGTGATCAGATAATGTGGGCATTCTCCTTGTACTTGGAAGCTGTAGCCATCCTTCCTCAGCTGGTCCTGCTGCAGAGGACAAGAAACATTGATAACTTGACCGGGCAATATGTTTTTCTTCTGGGGTAATCCATTATTACCAGATTCTTATCCTTCCATCTAAAATTATTTGTTGCATACAAATTTCTTTATGAAGTGAGTTTCAGGGTAGGATTTGTGTCAGCATCGAGTTGCGGTGAGCTGTGCTTTTGTGGCTCTTGTTGAATTCCTTCTCCTTGATTTATAATTTTTAATATCATGGGCTTATACTTGTACTTCTGCATGTGGATGCTTAGTCATGGGAAATGCTAACCTACTACATTTTTAGTATGTGGTGCCATACCCAAGTTTTTCTTTGACATGTAGCCCTTCCACTTCACCATGATTTGGTGAGGTGTTAATTCATGATTGTGGTTTCAATTTTCATAAGAAACGGTGGTAAAATATGTTATTGAAGAAATTAGTCCAGAAGCTGAATGCAGCTTGCCGTACCATGTGGTGCTTCTTTCTTGTAAATGATATATATTATTATAAGAAAAACCTGCAAAATTTATCCTTGAAGAAATTAGACCTCCTGTGCAACTGTATATGTTGTCAATTTGTTTCTTCGAGTATCATAACATTCATTTTGTGAGATCCAATCTGGAAGCCTATGAAGCATGAATATGAACATGGCTGCAGATACAAAATGTCAGATGTAACTTTTCAAAAGAGTGATGCAAAATGTTGTTTACGATACTTTAAATTATGCATTGATGCGTTTTATATTTATTTTTATACGTCTTTATGTTTTACCAAAACTTATACTTATTTTATTTGCTTTGACTATGAAACTTCCAGGTGAAATATTTGAAGTTGAGGTCTGGTTGTTTGTATTAAGATAAGGTTTGGTTGTAATTTGTATTATTAGTGTCAATAAAATAAAAATAAGTGCATGTAATAAATGTAAAACAAATGCCATGTGAAGTTTGTATAGTTTCACATTATTTTGAAGTTTCATACATATTTTTAGGATTAAAATTTTCCCTAATTTTGTATAAAAAATTACAAAATGGGGCTTCCTGTGTTGCTGACAAGTTGTGGCAATCTCACTCACGTGCCAAAAATTTTAAAATATGAAATAGGGCCCCGTGTTGGTCACATGTCTAATTCTTGTTAGAACCTTCTGTCTTGCACAGTTGTGCTTTTGTGTTGAATTTTTTTTAATTTAAAAAGAAAGGATATGCCAAGTGGTGCATGATTAGTGTCGGAAATATCCCGGTGTGTTGGTGCATGATACTTATTGGATGCTTCACATGTGGAGCTTTCGTGGTGAACAAAGTGGTGATATACACTATGATATATGTTTGTCTTTTGTCTAGATATCTACAATCTGTAGAGCCACCTATTCTTAAATCTGACTTCAAATGACATTTTGTTATAATAACAATCTTGAGTATGCTTACGTGTACCATTCATATACTGGAGTGAATCTTATGACAGCGAAATCTTATGTTTGCTCGATCAGCTTACATGAGTATCAACAAAGGATATTGACTTTTAAATCTGGGCTTTAAATAACTATTCTCTGCTATCTGTCATTGTTTATTCTTTCTGCGACCTTATAATCTGCAAATGCATTTTTTCTTAGTATTCTTTTGGTAAGGGCATATTTTACTCACGATTCTGCTGTAATCATTTTCTATCACCAAACAAATTGTTGCAAAGAGTTTTTGCACTCAGTTCATGGATGAATTAAAGGAACTTGGTAGCTGAGCAGATGAAAGAGAGATCCTGAACCGTGAAAAGATAGCATTGTTCTATATGCTTATGGGGATCTTTCCGTTTAGAAATGTAGTAGATGAAAAATGTATTTGGCAACTAAATGTGGAGATCCATGCAACATGGGGATGATGAGGTAAATGAATGGGCACTGGGCAAAATGAAAAGAATGTCCATGGGAAAAGTTAGTTAAACCTCAAAGTCAGTGCCATTAATAATGAGAGTTGCAAGATGCTAAGCCCTTGTTTGAGCCACATATTTTTGCAAAAAATGCATTTTAAAATAGTGTTTTGTTGGAGAATGTGTAATTAAAAGTAAGGAAAAGTTTCGATTTACGTGTAAAATTATTTTATAAGAGAATGCGTAGTTGAAAAAATGAGTTTTGAAAAAATGAATTTTTGAAAAAATGGGGGCCAAACATAGGCTAAATATTAAGAATGCCATATGGATTATGATCCAGGTTTCTTCGAAGTATGAAGAGTAAATAATTTGTTTTGGTGGGAAAAAAGAAAGAGAAGAAAAAGGTTTCACAATGGCTTCATTTCTTGGAGTTGCTACTGACTCGTATTCTGATACAGAATTCATAATTCTTCTACTCTCTAAATTTCTTTGATGAGTTCACCATTGTGAACTAAAATGGTTTCTTGGCAATCGCTTCATTTCTTAATTTCCATCTACTGATATATATTTCCTTAGTTTTGTGGGCAGATGTGATCTTGGGTCAGTTGATGAATTAGTTAGTTTAGAACTTTTATCTACAAAATTAGATATCACCCAAAGAGAATAACTTCGTGGGCATGCCTAGCCATTCTTCAACCATTCTTATCCTCAAATTTCCTTTATAGTTAGTGAACAGACTCATTTAGTATCCCCATCCTGACATTCTTTAGCTAGCTTTGACAGCAGTTCTGAGCATCATGTGTATCATTGACAGAAGACTAATTCGATATCTCAAGACAGATCCAGTCTACTTCTCATGTTAACAAAATTGGTTGTAACACTTGTAACTTGTGTCATCAATTTCTAATAAATCTGAACTACCAATATTTGGTGCCACAATGCCCAGTTTTAAGTTGCGCCTTTTGGTTAAATGAATGATGAAACTCAAATTTATATATCCTGCCTTGTTGCAGTGCTTACCGGTCATTATACATATTGAACTGGATTTATCGCTACTTCACTGAGCCACACTTTGTTCACTGGTTAAGTATGTCTCTCTCTCTCTGGATATATCATGTTTGATAATTTTTTTTTGGGCTGCAGCTTGCATAGTTTTGTACATTGCAAAATGAAAATATCGCCATCTGTAATTAAACTGATAACCTACTCATGTGCTCCTTCTGCAAATGCAGCTTGGATTTCGGGACTTGTTCAGACTCTGCTTTATGCCGATTTCTTTTATTATTACTTCCAAAGGTAAAATTGTCAAGCATTGAGACATATTTCCATTTTGAACTGGTAACTCTACTCATTTTCATATCACTGTTGCAGCTGGAAGAATAATGTGAAGCTTGAGTTGCCCGCTTGAGGTTATAGCAAGAATTTTGATAAAAGCATACATAATTATATATTTATTGTAATGCCCGTCGCATTTTTATAGTCTCTGTCTGTGGATCTATGTAGAAGATGCATTTCGTTTATTCCCAACTAGTTGGGGTTTACCAAATCATATGTAGCACCTAAAGAACTTGTGTCGTGATTTATACTGACTGTAACTTATGTTGACATTCTTTATTTTCAAGTCCTTTGAACGGTCATTCATGTTGGGACTTTGTACTGGAGAAACAAAGATAGTATTTGGGCAGGAAATTTGGTTAAATATGAGCAGAACTTCGTGTGATGCCCAGGGACCACTACATGTGTGTAGGGCTGTAAATGGATCTGATATGGACCGAATTTGCATATATCCGATTCAATAAGAAAATTATCCGATTCGATCTTATAATCCAATGAATATTTGATTGTTAAATTCATATTCGATTTGTTATGTTATTGGATATCCGATCCGATAATTCGATCTGAAATTAATAAAAAATTAGGAAAAAAAAATCAATGTTGGAATCAAATCATCATACATTAAATGAAAAATTGAAAATTGTCAAATAAACCGTTAAACTGTAAACCAAAAAATTGGATCCGATTTTTTGAAATAAAATGATTTTTTGTTCATTAAAAAAATTAGAACTAGCTTGAGACCCACCTGTTCTTACCAACGAGCCAAATAGTGACTTCTACAATCATGATATTTCTTTTTAAATGAGATAGCATCTTCTAGTTTTTTATTGACATTCGATGTGGGATAAAGTAAAATTAAATTTCAATTCTAAATATAAATATTTTATTTCATTATTTTTATTAACAAATCAAAATATTTATTACATATTAATTATTAGTTTTGAAGTTATAAAATAAATTACAATAATAAATTTA